ATATTATACAACATTATGTAATGATTGTGTAAGCTGTTGTAGTTGGAACCCAACTTTACAACACATTCATTAAACTGAAAATTGACACAGCAATTTTAAAATGTCTGTGCATAACTATCATAATATTTTAAGCACAAAAATCAACATCATTAGGCAGTAAAAAAGCTATTCAGTCTTAGTTTCTAAAGTAACGGAGCACTATATTTACTTCCTTGAAGAACAGCTTTAAACAAGAGCTGTAACAGGAGGCAGCGAAGCTCGACTTATAAAATACTGGACGCAGTAAGGAAGACAAACTATGAAAGAAAAATCAATAATGATATAAAGATATTTCTTCTTATGACAAGAAATTATTGTTGTTAACATAAATTCCAATTTCAAGGGGCAAAAATTCTGGAAATAGTCACACTAGAAATATAGACCTTGTCAAACAATATATATGTAATACATTAAAAAGTAAAGAAGTTATAATATTTTCTAAGAAATTTCTAAGTTCAAAGAGATATAAATCTGTAAATATTGATACAAAAGTTATGACTTTTGTCACATAACATCTGGTTGATGATAAGGAATACGTATTTGAAGTTTGAGGTAGATACTTTTAAAACTAAAGAATTTATAGTAAAAATAACATTTTTAAGTAAAACAAGAGTCGGTTGAACCGGGTGATGCAGCTCCCCGACTAGGATTTGGACACAGAAAAGTATATCTTTGGTAGTTTCAGAGTAATTATGTCCAAGACAAAATTCAAAGTGTGATAATTCCAAACTTAGGCAATGCAGAGTTACTGTTCTTTGCGCTGCACTTCTACTCAATAAGATATATCTACCCACTTGCGCGCGACACGTCGTCTCAATATGTTGATCATTTCTGTGAAATATTTGTAAAATCCGACTTCAAATAACGAAGTTATGGGCCCAACACAATTTTGCTTCAAGGTCATGCTATGACCTTGACCTTCAAGGTAGCGACCCAAATGATGCACGCGACACGTCGTCTCAATATGGTGATCATTACTGTTAAAAAGTTGTAAAATCCAACTTCAAATAACAAAGTTATCGGCCAGACACAATTTTGCTTCAAGGTCATGTTGTAACCTTGACCTTCAAGGTAGCAACCAAAATGTTGCGCGCGACACGTTGTCCAAATATGGTGATCATTTCTGTGACAAAGTTGTAAAATCCGACTGTAAATAACCAAGCTATGGGCCGGACACAATTTTGCTGCAAGGTTATGCTGTGACCTTGACCTTCAAGGTAGCGATCCAAATTTGAGCGCGACACGTCATCTTAATATGGTGATCATTTCTGTGAAATAGTTTGTAAAATTCGACTTCAAATAACGAAGTTATGAGCCGGACACAATTTTTGTTCAAGGTCATGCTGTGACCTTGACCTTCAAGGTAGCGACCCAAATGTTGTGCGTGACACGTCGTCTCAATATGGGGATCATTTCTGTGAAATAGTTGAAAAATCTTACTTTAAATAACCAAGTTATGGGCCGGTCAAAATCTTGCTTCAAGGTCATGCTGTGACCTTGACCTTCAAGGTAGCGACCAAAAAAATGTTGCGGGCGACATGTCATTGCAATATGGTGATCATTTCTGTGACAAAGTTGTAAAATCCGACTTCAAATAACCAAGTTATGGGCTGGACACAATTTTGCTTCAAGGTCATGCTGTGACCTTGACCTTCAAGGTAGCAACCCAAATGTTGCACGCATTGTCTCAGCATGGTTATAATTTCTGTGAAATAGTTGTAAACTCTGACTTCAAGTAACGAAGTTATGGGCCGAAAATGATTTTTGTTCAAGGTCATCCTGTGATACGTCGTCTCAAAATGGTGATCATTTCTGTGAAATAGTTGGAAATCCAACTTCAAATAACAAAGTTATGGGCCAGACACAATTTTTGTTCAAGGTCATGCTGTGACCTTGACCTTCAAGGTGCGATCCAAATTTGAGCCCGGCACGTCATCTTAATATGGTGATCATTTCTGTGAAATAGTTTGTAAAATCCGACTTCAAATAACGAAGTTATGGGCTGGATACAATTTTGGTTCAAGGTCATGCTGTGACCTTGACCTTCAAGGTAGCGACCCAAATGTTGTGCGTGACACGTCGTCTCAATATGGTGATCGTTTCCGTGAAATAGTTGTAAAATCCGACTTTAAATAACCAAGGTTACAAAGCAGCCCAAATGTTGCACGCAAAACATCGTCTCAGCATGGTGATAATTTCTGTGAAATAGTTGTAAACTCTGACTACAAGTAACGAAGTTATGGGCCGGACATGATTTTTGTTCAAGGTCATGCTGTGACCTTGACCTTCAAGGTAGCGACCCAAATGTTGTGCGCGACACGTCTCAATATGGTGATCATTTCTGTGAAATAGTTGTAAAATTCGACTTCAAATAACAAAGTTATAGGCCCGACACTAATTAAGGACGTACATACGTATGTACGTACGTTCACACGTATGTACGGATACACGTACATACCCATGGACGGACGGACTGACAGAGGGACGGACAAACAAGCGACTATATGCTCCCCCCAAATTTTTTCGGGGAGCATAAAAATCTAAGTTAATGGGGAGATAAATCTGAAGATATTGGTGCTAGAGTTATGAACATTGTCACATAAGATGTGGTTGATGATAAGGAACGATAATGATTTGGAGTATGAATTGATCCCTACAGAAATAAAGAAGTTATAGTAAAAAATAATATTTTTAAGGAAATTGATCCCTAAAGAAATAAAGAAGCTTTACTAAAAAATAATAGTTTAATAATAGTTTTAAGGAATTCTAAGTTCAAGGGGAGATAGATCTGAAGATATTGGTGCTACAGTTATGAACCTTGTCAAATAAGATGTGGTTGATGATAAGAAACATATATTTGAAGTTTGAAGTTGATACCTTAAGAAATGAAAAGTTATAGTGAAAAATATTTTACTGCATCAAAACTTTAATCTGAAATTTGGACACCGACGCCGACACCGGGGCGAGTAGGACAGCTCTCCATATACTTCGTATAGTCGAGCTAAAAAAAAATATTCTGTTGATGAAACTAATAAATAACATAAGAAAGAAAATTACAACAAGAGGGCCAAGATGGCCCTAGATTGCTGACCTGACCCATCAAACTCAATTCCGAACAATTACCTAGACAAGCATTCATAACAGGTGAGTCAAAAATGTGACCACTAGAGTGATAACAAGGATTATCCATTTTTGAGCAGTGTAACCTAGTTTTTAACCCCAGGGGACCCATATTCGAACTTGACCTAGAAACAAACTTTCAGACGAACTTTCAGGATACTCGGATTAAAACAGTAGCCACTAGAGTGTTAACAAGATTTTTCTATTTTTAGCTCTTGTGACCTAGTTTTTCATCCGAGATGACCCATGTTCGAACTCATCCGAGCAATTACCTAGACAAGCATCCTGACCAAGTTTGATGATAATTGCATCAAAAATATGACCACTAGAGTGTTAACAATGTTTTTCTATTTTTAGCTCCTGTGACCTAGTTTTTCATCCAAGATGACTGTTATGTTCAAACTCATTCGAGCAATTACCTAGACAAGCATCCTGATCATTCATATGAGTCAAAATATGGCCACTAGAGTGTTAACAAGGTTTTTCCATATTTGGGTGGTGTGACCTAGTTTTTCATCCGAAATGATCCATGTTCAAATTTAACCTAGAAATCATCAAAACAAACTTTCAGATCAATTTTCAGGATATTTTTATCAAAACAGTAGTCACTAGAGTGTTAACAAGGTTTTTCTATTTTTAGCTCCTGTGACTTAGTTTTTCATCCGAGATGACCCATGTTCAAACTCATCCAAGCAATTACCTAGGCAAGCATCCTGACCAAGTTTGATGATAATTGCGTCAAAAATATGACCACTAGAGTGTTAACAATGTTTTTCTATTTTTAGCTCCTGTGACCTAGTTTTTCATCCAAGATGACCGTCATGTTCAAACTCATTCGAGCAATTACCTAGACAAGCATCCTGATCAAGTTTGATGATAATTGAGTTAGAAATGTGGCACTAGAGTGTTTACAAGGTGTTTTTATTTTTAGCTCCTGTGACCTAGTTTTTCATTCAAGATGACCGTCATGTTCAAACACATCCGAGCAAATACCTAGACAAGCATCCTGACAAAGTTTGATGATGACTGAGTCAAAAAGGTGACTACTAGAGTGTTAAAGAGGGTTTTCTATTTTTAGCTCCTGTGACCTGGTTTTCCTCCGAGATTACCCATATTCGATCTCATCCGAGCTATTACCTAGACAAGCATCCTGACAAAGTTTCATAATGATTGAGGCAAAAATGTGACCCCTAGAGTGTTAATTAAACAAACAAGTGTGGATGGTTGACGGACATTAAACAATCCTAAAAGCTCACCCTGAGAAAGTTAGCAATAAAGGGATATATCTCAAATGTGAATATATTCAGTGAACAAAAAGAGTCAGTTTTGTAATTTTTGTTATAAATACATTGATTTATTTATAAATGAGGGCTTATTGTATATAATGTCACTTTGGGAGTAAAGCATCTTGGTTTTAACTATCTTGAGTGTGAAGCATCTGTCAATCTTCTGCACTGATACTAGTACATGACAAGGTGTATTGTTACATCTGTTCTTATAAATATTCATCGTGAAAATTAACAGCAGATGCTGATATTTCTCAACTATGACAGTCTAATATAACCTTAATAAAAGAATATAATTAAAAGAGTAAACATTAAGTGCCACAGCTTCTCAGACATAATAGGACACCAATTTGATGATTTTCTTGAAAACATTTTGAAAATATAAAATTAACAGTATCAGTCTGGCAAGTGTATTTTCCAAATTACAAAAAAGGAACATCAAACTTCATGGGAAAATAATCAAAGTATAACATCAAACCCTTTTGTTGGTCAGTAGAACATATTACGTAACATTCCGCTGGAAATTAGAATATGTACATAAAAAATAAATCTTACGTCTGCATGTGGGTGCACCATTCTGAGACCAAGTGGCATCATCCTTACATATAACATATGGTTGCCCTACAAACTCATAACCAGCATTACATGTGTACTCATATATTGTACCAATTGATGTTCCATCTCCAAATTTACGTTCACCTTGCCCATTCGATATTGTTGCACTAACAATGCTACTTGGACAACCTCCGGCTGTTTAAACAAAAATATACAATTTAACTTAATATACAATTCAATTTAATAAGACAATTAACAAGAAAATTAAAAATAAATAGGACAATAAATTAGTCAATATAAATGCATTCCTTATAGCAGTTACATACTGACAAATTTTATCATATACCTTATAGTAATTCAATATGATACCTTATGGTAATTCAATGTGATACTTTTTGGTAATTCAATCTGATACCTTATGGTAATTCAATGTGTTACCTTAAAGTTATTCAATATGATACCTTATAGTAATTCAATCAGTTACCTTATAGTAATTCAATCGGATACCTTATAGTAATTCAATGTGATACCTTATAGTAATTAAATGTGCTACCTTATAGTAATTCAATGTGTAACCTTATAGTAATTCAATGTGATACCTTATAGTAATTAAATGTGCTACCTTATAGTAATTCAATAGGATACCTTACAGTAATTCAATGTGATACCTTATAGTAATTCAATATGATACCTTATAGTAATTAAATATGATACCTTATAGTAATTCAATGTGTTACCTTATAGAAATTCAATATGATACCTTATAGTAATTCAATGTGATACCTTATAGTAATTCAATGTGATACCTTATAGTAATTCAATGTGTTACCTTATAGTAATTCAATATGATACCTTATAGTAATTCAATGTGTTACCTATAGAAATTCAATGTGATACCATATAGTAATTCAATGTAAAAAAATGTGTTACCTTAATAGTAATTCAGTATGATACCTTATAGTAATTCAATGTGTTACCTTATAGTAATTTTAATAAAGATACCTCATATTAATTTAATAGGATACGTTATAGTAATTCAATAGGATAACTTATAGTAATTGATTAGGATACCTTATAGTAATTCAATCGGATCCATTTCAATGTGATACCTTAAAATAGTAATTCAATGGAAAAAAAGTGTTACCTTATAGTAAGTCAATATGATACCTTACAGTAATTCAATGTTTTACCTTATAGTAATTCAATATGATACCTTATAGTAATTCAATGTGATACCTTATAGTAATTCATATTATACCTTATAGTAATTCAATATGATACCTTATAGTAATTAAATATGATACCTTATAGTAATTAAATAGGATACCTTATAGTAATTCAATATGATACCTTATAGTAATTTAATGTGATACCTTATAGCCTGTACGAAAATGCCTACCCTGACTACACCCTGATTTGACATGGGATCAGAAATTTATTCCCAGCCAGGTTTTTAAAGCTATTCAGTTGACTATAGAGAAGACAGAAATCTATTTTTAGATTTTTTAATATACAATAAAGAGTGTTTTCAGGGTGGATTCAACGAAATATTTAAATGAGCCAGAAAAAATACCACCCTGAAATGGAAATCCAGGGCAGAATTTTTACTCACACAGATTTCTAAAAATAGATTTACTTCTAGTTAAAGTAAGAGTCATTACAGGGTGGGATTAATTTGAAATATTTAAATGAGCCATAATTCACCCTGATTTCTGTTTAAAAAGTCAGGCCAGACTTTTTTCCTCCTGTTTTTATCCCGCCCCAAAATTTTGCAAATCCCACCCTGAAATTAAAATAAAAATCCACCCAGATTCCTGTTCTTTTTGATATTTGTCAAAATAATAATTGAGATTTTTTTTCACTTATCTGTATTTGATTTTCATACAATTAAATACATTTCAAAAGTCAATCTTGTTTGATATTTCCACTGGGTAGCTGCACACTGCATGTATTACATAATTCCACACTATAGTATCTGGACTACACAATCTGTAAACATATGAAAGCAGTGTAGGAATATGCTATTTACAACTTTCAATTTATATATACTAAAAGAAAATGTAACACCTTAATATATAGAAATACGTCAGTGTACATACAATGTAGTTTTAAAGGTATAATATTTCATTAATTGCAATCAAAACTTCAAAAGAACAAATGATTGATGAAATTGTTTTAAAGAAGCAACAGCATTATAAACATATTTGTACTGACTTCATGAAGTCATTAATTTCATAAAATTTGCATGAATGAATACTTTTAATAATTAAAACTGAAACTTTTGATAGAAGATGAAAAAAGTAAAAATTACCAGTATTATTTCTTCTATTGTATTCTTTTTTTCCAACTACACCATTTTCTTCTTCTTCATCCTCTTGTCAGTCATGTTACTTCAACCTAAATTTTGGAAGTAGAAAAAACAAATATGCAATCATGTCATAATCTTTATTACATTTTAAGACTTCAGTTTTTTTTCTAAAATGAAATGATCAAAATGTATAGTTTATTTAGAAAAATTAAGAATGATTCATTTTCCTTACATATTTTCAAACAGGTTTCCTGGAAATTTATTTAAAATCTTTTCAGAATACTGAGCTTACAGAATTCACAATTTTATGAACAAGAGCTGTCGGTAGGACAGCATGCTCGACTATTCTTAGTGCTTGATAGTAAAAAAAATGCCTGATACAGTTACCTCCTCCTGTTTACAGGTTGGGGTCATGATGGTGAACAAGTGTGCAAAGTTTCAAAGCCATATGTCAATGGACTTTGAAAATATTTGAACTATTACAAAAACTTTAACGTAAATTCTAAGTCGAAAAAGGGGCATAATTCTGTCAAAATGCTTGATAGAGTTACCTCCTCCTGTTTACAGGTTGGGGTCATGATGGTGAACAAGTGTGCAAAGTTTCAAAGCCATATGTCAATGGACTTTGAAAATATTTGAACTATTACAAAAACTTTAACGTAAATTCTAAGTCGAAAAAGGGGCATAATTCTGTCAAAATGCTTGATAGAGTTACCTCCTGCTGTCTACAGGTTGGGGTCATGATGTTGAACAAGTGTGCAAAGTTTCAAAGCCATATGTCAATGGACTTTGAAAATATTTGAACTATTACAAAAACTTTAACGTAAATTCTAAGTCGAAAAAAGGGGCATAATTCTGTCAAAATGCTTGATAGAGTTACCTCCTCCTGTCTACAGGTTGGGGTCATGATGGTGAACAAGTGTGCAAAGTTTCAAAGCCATATGTCAATGGACTTTGAAAATATTTGAACTATTACAAAAACTTTAACGTAAATTCTAAGTCGAAAAAGGGGCATAATTCTGTCAAAATGCTTGATAGAGTTACCTCCTCCTGTCTACAGGTTGGGGTCATGATGGTGAACAAGTGTGCAAAGTTTCAAAGCCATATGTCAATGGACTTTGAAAAATATTTGAACTATTACAAAAACTTTAACGTAAATTCTAAGTCGAAAAAGGGGCATAATTCTGTCAAAATGCTTGATAGAGTTACCTCCTCCTGTCTACAGGTTGGGGTCATGATGGTGAACAAGTGTGCAAAGTATCAAAGCCATATGTCAATGGACTTTGAAAATATTTGAACTATTACAAAAACTTTAACATAAGTGGTTACGCCGACGCCGACGCCGACGCTCGGGTGACTGCAATAGCTCTACTTATTCTTATCGAATAGTCGAGCTAAAAATTAAAAATATTAAGAACTGTAATTCAATTATAACTTACCATTTATCTGTTACAATTGGCTGCTTATTTCCCTCCATTTTTTTAAATTGAATAACGCAGTTTAACACATCTATTATGCTCCATGTTATATTTAAGTTTCACAATAAATTTCCCAAAGTTCTATACAGCTGGGGTAGTTAAATTCTTAAATCTCATTTTCTATGTAATTATCAAAAGTCATTTATGTATTGATATATAATTGTAAGTTGATTTATTTGAAATAAAATCACAACTAAAGCCTCCAATCTTTCTATAGAAAATGACCATGCTGGAAATAATTTTCAGGGTGTGATATTTGCTCTGGAATTTTAAACTGCTGTCCGTCAATCTGTGGTAACTTCTCTATTTTCATCTGCCAGATAGCCCAGTTTAACATAAATTATTTTTGAAATACTGTAACAAGTTTCCACTTGAAGGGTTATTTGTTTATAATAAACTGAAGCTGACCTTAAGAAATACAAGATTCTGTGCAGATTGTGAGATGAAATGGGTACAAACTAAAAATCTTGAACATTAACTTATTGCTGACCAATTTATGCATTAAATAATAAATTGTTTGTCATAAGTTAAATATAAATACAATCAATTAACTAGAAACAATTATCAATTTTATAGATAACAATAAATCATGTTGGAAGCTAAATAATCTACATAATTAAAAAAAAAATAAAGAATAATTCAGGAAATGAAAATAAATTTTGTTAAATAGAGTTTAAAATAAATCAACTGAAACTTTCCAGAAATAGACATTATAATATATTTTCTTCTGAAATTAATAATAATTATTCAATTTTATCTGACCAGCAAATGTATAAACTGTACTAATGAGTGTATTACAATATTCATTTCTAATAACTTCTAAACTAAGAAAAATCAGGGGCCTGGAAATGAAGAACTTTAAGACTGTAAAATTGAAACTGGTTCTTGAAAATTTTCTAACTTGAAAATATCTGGGTAGAGTTTTTTTTTATTTCTCCAAGTCAAGTAAAATCTGTGTCAAAATATTTTCAAAGTGCAAATATTCCTGCTTCCACCCTGACTTTTTACCAAGATGAAGACGATGTCAGGGTAGAAAAAACTTGAATTCCCGTGTGAGATTTCTTGAAAATTCAGGGTCCATGTCTATTTCACCCTGATTTTGCCAATTCTGGTTCAAAACAGGCCTGAATCGGTCCTGTTTTTCATAAAAGCCATGCTGATTTTTCGTACAGGAGTAATTCAGTATGATACCTTATAGTAATTCAATGTGTTACCTTACAGTAATTCAATATGATACCTTATAGTAATTCAATATGATACCTTATAGTAATTCAATATGATACCTTATAGTAATTCAATGTGTTACCTTATAGTAATTAAATATGATACCTTACAGTAATTCAATGTTTTACCTTATAGTAATTCAATATGATACCTTATAGTAATTCAATGTGTTACCTTACAGTAATTCAATATGATACCTTATAGTAATTCAATGTGATACCTTATAGTAATTCAGTATGATACCTTATAGTAATTCAATGTGTTACCTTATAGTAATTAAATATGATACCTTACAGTAATTCAATGTTTTACCTTATAGTAATTCAATATGATACCTTATAGTAATTCAATGTGTTACCTTATAGTAATTCAATGTGATACCTTATAGTAATTCAATGTGATACCTTATAGTAATTCAATGTGATACCTTATAGTAATTCAATGTGTTACCTTATAGTAATTCAATGTGATACCTTATAGTAATTCAATGTGATACCTTATAGTAATTCAATGTGATACCTTATAGTAATTCACTGTGATACCTTATAGTAATTCATATGATACCTTATAGTAATTCAATGTGTTACCTTATAGTAATTCAGTATGATACCTTATAGAAATTCCAAAGGATACCTTATTGTAATTCAATTGGATACCTTATAGTAATTCAATATGATACCTTATAGTTATTCAATGTGTTACCTTATAGTAATTCAGTATGATACCTTATAGAAATTCCAAAGGATACCTTATTGTAATTCAATAGGATACCTTATAGTAATTCATATGATACCTTATAGTAATTCAATGTGTTACCTTATAGTAATTCAGTATGATACCTTAAAGAAATTCCAAAGGATACCTTATTGTAATTCAATCGGATACCTTATAGTAATTCAATGTGATACCTTATAGTTATTCAATGTGTTACCTTATAGTAATTCAATGTGTTACCTTATAGTAATTCAATGTCATACCTTATAGTAATTCAATATGATACCTTATAGTAATTCAATGTGATACCTTATAGTAATTCAATGTGTTACCTTATAGTAATTCAATGTGATACCTTATAGTAATTCAATGTGATACCTTATAGTAATTCAATGTGTTACCTTATAGTAATTCATATGATACCTTATAGTAATTCAATTGGATACCTTATAGTAATTCATATGATACCTTATAGTAATTCAATGTGTTACCTTATAGTAATTCAGTATGATACCTTATAGAAATTCCAAAGGATACCTTATTGTAATTCAATTGGATACCTTATAGTTATTCAATGTGTTACCTTATAGTAATTCAATGAGATACCTTATAGTAATTCAATAGGATACCTTATTGTAATTCAATCTGATACCTTATAGTAATTCAATATGATACCTTATATTAATTCAATCGGATACCTTATAGTAATTCAATGTGTTACCTAAGATTAATTTAAAATGATACTTTATAGTAATTCAATGAAGAAAAAAAATAATTTTTTTTTTTTGTTTTTTTAAAAAATTTTAAAACCTTTTAAAAATTAAAAACCTTTTTTAAAAATTTTTATCCCAAAAGAAAATTAACCTTTAAGTTTTTCCCCAAAAAAAAAAAATTTTAAATTTTTGAAAAACCAAAAAAAAAATTTTTTCAATTTTAAGAATTTTTGAAATTTTAAAAAAGGGGGATTTAATTTTAAAATTTTAAAAAAATTAAAAATAAAAACATTTTAAAATTTTTTTAAATTTTGGGGGATTTTTTTTAAATTTTAATGGTTTTTTTAATTTTTTAAAGTAATTTTTTTTTTTTAAAATTTAAAAATATTTTAAATTTTTTTTTATTAATTTTATTTTTAAATAAAAAACCCTTTGAAAATTTTTTTTTAAAAAATTTTATTTTAAATAATTTTTAAATTTTTAAATTTTAATTATTTTTAAGTAATTCCCAAAAAAAAAAAAATTTTTAAAATTTTAAAAAAACCCCAAAAAAATTTTAAAAAATTAATTTGGTTTTAAAAATTTTTTAAAAAACCCTTTATTAAATTTCCTTTGAAAAAAATTCCTTTTTTTTAAAGGTTTTTTTAATTCAATTGAATATATAATTAAAAAAACCAATTTTTTGGATTTTTATTTAAAAAGGGGACCAAAATTAATTTAAAAAAACTTTATTAAAATAAAAAAAATTGATTTTAAATTAAAATTAAATTTTATTTTCGGGGGTTAAATTTTTTAAAAAAAACAAAATTAAGTTTTTTTTTAATTTTTCCCATTTTCTTCCTTAAATTTTTTTTCTTTTTTTTGTTTTAAAAAAATGGAAAAAAAAAAAATTTTTCCAAAAAAAATTAACCTTATTTTTTAATTGAAATTTGAATTAAAAAAAATTTTTAAAAAATTTTAAAATTTCCAAAATTAATTTTACCCTTTAATAATTAAAAATTTTATGTTTTTTTAAAACCCCCATAGTAATTCAATGTGTTACCTTAATAGTAATTAAAATATGTAACCCCTTATAGTAATTCAAAGTGTTTCCTTATAGTAATTCAATAGGATATCTTAAAGTAATTCAATGTGATACCCTATAGTTATTCAACAGGATACCTTATAGTTATTCAATGTGATACCTTATAGTAATTCAATAAGATACCTTATAGTAATTCAATGTGATACCTTATAGTAATTCAATGTGATACCTTATAGTAATTCAATGTGATACCTTATAGTAATTCAATATGATACCTTAAAGTAATTAAATGTGCTACCTTATAGTAATTCAATGTGTTACCTTATAGTAATTAAATATGATACCTGATAGTAATTCAATAAGATACCTTATAGTAATTCAATATGATACCTTACATTTATTCATATGATTCAACAAGGAGTAACACAACTTAATAACTCCTAAAAGCAGGATATCCTTTGGTATGGTTATTTCTTTTGTCATGCACAGCCAATGGAAAAAAAACCTCAAGTGCAACTTTGAGCATTATTTCACACACAAGCTGGCACCAAAGTAGAACCACCAATCTTTTGTAAACAACCAAGTTAGATCTGTCAAGATTTAAAAGAAAAGCAGTTAATGACAAATGGTAACATGGTAACAAGTCCGGGACCTGAACCATTTCACCACTGAAATTAGATCTTTGAGTAAACAAATCTTAATACTATATGCCATCAAATATCAAAGCTTTCTAAATGAATCTACATTCATTACAGGCTAAACCATATCAATAATTACCTCTACAAATAGGAGGACTTTCCCAGGAACCATCTGATCTACATGTTATTTCCAAGTTGCCACTAGCAACTGTACCAGGATTGCATTCATAAGTAACCTTACTTCCATACACTGTCCCCGTTGATGACACTATATAACTGTTAGTGCTGACTGGAACATCTCCACAGTATCTTGCTTTATAATAAAAGAATTGTGGCAATTCATTCATTCTGTTAAAGAGCACCCTCCCAATTTTTATTCTACAAATGATTTAACTTGGTAATGCATATTGTGAATGGTTGCGCAAAAGAAAATGCAGTTTCAATTTGATTGTCATTATATCCCCGCTTTAAATTATCCCTTAAGGAAGGGGCAAAATATGCAAAAATAGTCTTACTAAAATTAAAACGCCAGAAGAAATATATAGTTGATACAATAAAAATAGCCAAAATAGAAAATATGAAAGTTATTCTACCCAGAATTTTTGAAGCTTTATAGTTTTACTAATAAGGAAAGTATTGAACAAAATTTATTTTTTATTTTTTGTTGTTTTACATTTGATTTCTTTTCTTATTTGTTTTCTTTCATGTTTATCGCAGGTATTTGTTCCTGCTGAGCGTGCAGCTTTAAAACAATAATGACTGTTTACGGCCCTCGAAATTTCTTATTTGGCAAAATAAAGGGGTTTCAGGAACTTTTAATGTCAAGAAAAGGCTTAATTTACCCTTTCAATGCATAACTGCTCATCCCTTGACTTTTTAAGCATAAACCTGCTCATTATATAGTGAACTGGCTTTGCCTTGCCATTGAATTGTATGTGTAATGGCTTTGTCCTACTTTGAATTTGTATGTGTCGTGGAATTTGCATGCTTTGAATTTGAATGTGATCATGAATGTGGCCTGCTTTGAATTTGTATTGATATGGGGATTTGCCCTGCTTTGTATTTGAATGTGACATGTACATTCCCCTGCTTTGAATTTGTATGTGAATTGTTTGCCCTGTTTTGAATCAATGTAATGGATTTTTGCCCTGCCTTTGAATTTTATAGTGAGTTTCAGTTCTAGCAGGTTAAGGGCTGAAATAACGCAATATGGTATAGATATATTTCAATAAAACAAATACAATGACCTAAAAAAAAAGAAGAAGAATATATCATAATGATTGATGCAATCAATCAACTTAAAGCCAGAAATTTAGAAAATATGATATGAGTCTGAACATTCCATAAATCCTCACGTAAATATGGAAAGCAGCTTATTATGTGTTAAAAAATACCTTATTTAGAGGCAAAAGTATAGAAATCAGATTTTATATTTTTATGATACAACTGTAATTGTCTTTAAAACTTACGTGTACATCTTGGAACTTGTCTGTAATTCTTCCATACACCTTTGTACCCACATTCAATATTTAACGATGTTTGTCCCGCAGATATCTGTTCCTGCTGAAAAGCGTACCCCAGTTTACACGAGACAGAAGTGACAGCTCGGTAGTTTCTGTTTAGTGGCGATGGATTCACAATCGTATTTTCATCATAATTAGGGTCAGGACAAGCTGAAAGGGGAAAAAAGTTTCAGAGATATCAATTATAGTTATATATCAAAGAAAAAGGCTTTAGAAAAAAGTTTACCATTTGCCAGTGGGCATTCATATTATTCTAACTTAACCTTTTAGCTAATAGTAATGTGCTTGAAACAACAGCCATCCAAATACTGATAGCTTCGTTATTAAAATTAAATATCTCTCCATTGTCATGTTATGTGTGGAACAATTTTCATATTAACGTGTTTGTTTGAATATTTCATATTCCCAAATTTATGTGTTGAATCTTTTGATATTGTCAGTGTTATTGTGGAAATCTTTCATATTAAACAGTTTATGTGTTGAATATATCTCATATTCCCAACATTATGTGTTGAATCATTTTTCAATTTTTGTCATGTTATTGTTTAATCATATCTCTATTCAAAATCGTTTAAATGTATTGATCATATCTCATACTAACAGTGTCATTTGGAACCATCTTTTATATTAAATTTTTTCAACATTAATAGTAAATACCTGGAGACCAAGTTGCTTTAAATCCTTTTTCTGATCTAGTGACAGATGAATCCAGGTGAATTGTGGTTACACCGCTATCTAAATTGAAGACTTGACCAGCAAATTCATTAGTTGCATATCCTCTGCTTGGTGATCCTTCGTACATTTGCCCATTTTCATATATCTTTTGAATGAAAAAAATATCAAATCCATTTCATTTTTCAATATTTCTCATGGATTGGTTGTTTTTCTTTAACCATATAAAATGTGGAACAAATAAAAGGACACATTTCCAATCTTTAAGAATTTTCCAAAATTTAGATCCCCCCCCCCCCCCCCATAAATACTGCTTTTGTCATAATAAAATTCTTTAGCTTAATGGTTGTGGCAGTTCTCTCCTATGTGCACAAAACAGGCCCTGAGTAGCACCACCGATCTCCCAAAATTTAACTGGATAGCTCGCTCACATAACAGAATGAAAGGTCCATAGTGGGACTCGTACTAACATCAGTGTGCGGTAAGCAACTCAAAATTCAGCAACTACAACCACTCAGCCCTGTCATATTGTAAGTGATTAATGTAAAGAAGAAAACCACATTTCATTCTTTAAATTGCCTTAAACCATGATAAAATTTTTACTTGAAATTTTGCATGCCATTAATTCAATTACACTTCAAAATAATCATCTAATTTTTTTTTTGTTTTTATTTTCATAATTTAATTTTGATATGTCTCTCATTTTACTTCATTTGCTATAATTGTATCATTATATTTTAGCTTCAAATGATAGAATGAATCAAGAAAATCCTGTATCTAAAAATAATCTTCAATCCTCTAAATAAAAATAGGATCATCACCTTTAAGAAGTCACCATTTACGTCCCGGTTGTAGTCGTTGGACTGTAGTCTAGAATTGCTGTCAAAATATAATGTAACTGGTACATTTGTAGTAATTTTCCACTCACAGCTTACAGAGCTTGGATAGTTAATATTTCCAGTATACCCAGGTGAGTAAATTGTTCCCCAAACATCAGTTGTCTCATAATAACATCCTGTTAAAATAAGATAAAAAATAATTTTGATCATGCTAGGCAAAAAAAAAAATTTATACAAAATTGATGTATTTGACATGGGTGGGTGGAGAGTTTGAGTGTTGATTGATGGCCCTTATAAGGTTTTAAGCTAATTCTATATCTATTATCTATTCGCCCACTGCAGTTCAACATGAGAAGAATTTTAAAGTTTTTATTTAAAACCCATGATCCAAGAACAGGGCCAAATTTGACCCAAGGGCTTATGTTTGAAAAATCTTTGTATATGTTTTTATGGCAATGTTTCTTGCTCTAAATCAAAGCTCTAGCTTTCTGGGCCAAATTTGACCCAAGGACTAAAGTTTGCAAAATCTTTGTATAGGTTTCTAAGACAAAGTTTCTTGCATTATAAATCAAAGCTCTAGCCTTCTTTGTTTCAGAAGAGAACACTAAGATTTTGCTATATGTATATAAGGAAAAGCAATGATTCACAGGGCAAAGCCAGTTTTGACTCTTAGGACTAAAATATGAAATGTTTTGTAAAAGCTTACTTGACAGTGTTCCATGCCAACATCTTATCTCTAGTCTTTGCAGCTTCAGAGGAGCACCATTTTCCATTTTTTTCCCCTAATTTTGAACCAAGGGCGGCAGTTTTCATAAACTTTGTAGAAGTTCAATAGACAAAACTACAAACAAACTATCTAGGCTAAAGGCCTTGTGTGTTTTTGAAGGTTTTTAAAGACGTTGTTCATATTAGTTGCCATAGCAATCAGAATTTTTAATGAAATCTTACTTTTTGAACAAATTAAGAAGGGAACCAACCAAGGATCATGTTGCAATGGCTGGTAGTACAGGAGGGGATAATAATAAACAACTGACACAGGGCAAAAGTCAAAGATCACACTGAGCATATTGCATTCAAATGAGCTAAAAATAAACCCATATCAGCCAATCAGCTGATAGTTTACATAAAGACACCTACCTTGTCTGTACCGGAACCTGAAAGCCATATCTTTATTGACCATTTTGTTTGTTCTCAGAAGAATGGACAATTTTTTATCTGTCGAGTAAATCACTTTGTTGTTTTGACAAAGTTCCTCGTCGTTACAACTTGTAGACAGCAGAATATTATCTCGTGGAGTTTCATCATCAAAGAACATAACCGTGTCACCATCACTTAGCTTGAGGTCCAGAATCTAAAAGAAGATAGAGCGGTAAAATTTAGACTCAACGTTTAAGAGATACGTCAATCCTTGACAAAACTTTGAAAAAGTATAAAATCCATTCTTAAAGTTATAACGTCATATAGATATTTATATTTATATGATATGATGATTTTATTCATTCCAAACCTTAAAATATAAATGGACAAAATAAAAATTTACTTACCTCTAACGTAATCATTTGACCGAACTGAAAGTTATTTTCAGTACTTATGACAATTATATAATCTCTTTGTCCGAGGAAGGTGTTGGTGTTTTCAACATCAAATGTTTTAATATTATACTCTTTTGGGTTATCCTGAGCCACTAAATTTACTTTTTGACCTGAATCATCTTTCACTGAAATTTAAAATAAATTGAATAGCAAATGATCACTTTATCCCTTCAAAGTGAGATGTTTGTCATAATTTTAAGAAATCAAAATATTTTCACATTGAAAATATTTCAAAGTGATCCCTTCAAAGTGAAATGTTTGTCATAATTTTAAGAAATCAAAATATTTTCACTTTGAAAATATTTCAAAATGATCCCTTCAAAGTGAAATGTTTGTCATAATTTAAAGAAATCAAAATATTTTCACTTTGAAAATATTTCAAAACTATCATCTTTTACAGAGATACATTACAAATTCATAATTATACACTTTATCCATACCATATTAATCTTGATATTCACCCCTTTGTGCATTATTTCAGTTAAAAGCTGGTACTTAAAGATATACTATGCTTAAATTTGATATTTGCTACACTGAGTCTCTTTGTAAATATAAAATAAACATGTTTTAAATTCACGCAAAGTAGATATGTTATGTTTTAAATTCTACCCACTATAGGTGGTCACACTATGAATATAGTTATAGTGTCATTAAAAAGAAACTGGCAGTTTTTTTAGTTTTTTTAAGAAAGGACCAACTTTTCTTTAACCTGTAATAGGGAATGCAATTTCCCATACATTGTACATAGTTTTTTTCAATCTTTTATTCAAATTAGACATATTCAGTAAGAATTTCATAGCTATCAATAAATTTCTTTGAAAAAAAAAAACAATGTTTTACTCAATGATGAGCATAGTATATCTTTAAATATCAATTCACCATCACATTCTGTAAGCTAGCTGCATAACTTCCTCACATGGAAGAAATCCAAACATCCGGGCATGTTTCGAACCCAGAGCAGTGTCAGGTATGTGATTAACACTGAGAGACCTTAACCATTTCAGCAAATAATTCAAGATCAAGTCCACTTACAGGCACCGTATGTTCCGGTAAAGCCAGTCATTGAGCCAGTGTTGCTGACAGTGGAGTCCGAGAAAAATTTGACGAAGATTTTATTGTTGTAGCTACGGAACGTCTTTTTCCCGATATTTCCAGATATACGGTCAACAATCATTGCCCTGCTTTCATCAAAGCTACCAGTCATCACAGTCACAAAGTCTGCATTATACTCAGTGTTGAAGTTATCAAACTACAAAAAAAAAAATTTGGGCCCTCAAAAAAGCTTGCGGCTTTACCCAAATGGTTAATTGTCTGACTAGTAAACTTTTAAGGTTTTTTGGTTTGGGGGGTTCAAAACCAAAGTCAGGGGTTCCTTCTTTTCCCTTTAAAAAAGAAAAATTTTTATATTTAAATTTCAAAAGTACTATTTTTTCAAGGGAAAGATTTTTGAGGTTTTTAATAAAATTTTCCTTGAAGACATGGAGCTTTTAAAAACAATTAAAAATTTAAAAAAAATTAGTATAAACTTAAAACTGCCCCAAATAATAAAAGTACAAAATTAAAAAAAGCAGAGCTCCCCATATCTTTTTGGGAGTTAAAGGGTTTAAAAAACTGAACAAAACAAAAAAACAAAGGGCCAAAATATATAAGTTCTAACATCAAGGGACAATTTTTAAAAAATTTTCTTTTATAATAACACAAGCAATAGAATTTTAAAGCCCAGAAATTAACATGTTTGCCCTTTTTATTTAAAAGTTTGGAAATTTTTTCTATCTAGAAACACAACGTTTAAAAACTTTCCCGGACTTTCTTTTAAAAAAGTATTTAAAATTTTTTATCTATTTTTACAAACCACTAAAAGGGGGATTTAGTTTTACAAAATGTACCAATTTTTTTATGGGAAAGCCCAAACTTCTTTTTAAGTCGGGGCCTTTGGGTTTAAAAGGGGATGTCTTTTTTAGATGGGGCTATGGGTTTTATAGATTTTAAATTTTCATATATGGTTTTGCGTTCAAAAAGAAAGGGCATTTAATTTTAAAATATGGTGCAGGGCATTTTTAAAATTTCATGGTTTTAATATGGGGAGTATTTAATTTAAAAGGGCTGTATTTTAATACTTTTGGTTTTGGGCTTTTTTAAAAATTGGGTGTAGCCCCTACGATTGTTATCGTTTTTCATATGGGGATGTCGTTTTGAAAAAATGGCGAAAGTCGAATTGCATAGATGATGCTGTAGTTTTGTTAAACGGTGTTGGTGAGTTTTAAAAGATGTGCTGTAATTTTGATACCTGGGTGATGTCGTTTAATAGAAACGGTGCTGGAATTGGAAAATGGTATGTCGTATTGTTAAGATGGGCTGTGGGTTGTTACAGATGGGCTGTAATTTTGATAAATGGTTATGTCGTTTTGTTAATGGTGCTGTGGTTTTTATAGATGTGCTGTTTATTTTGATAAATGGGTTAATGTCGTTTTTGTTAGATGGTGCTGTCGATTGGATAAAATGGTTATGTCGTTTCGTTAGATGGTGCTGTCGCATTTGATAAATGGTTATGGTCGTATTTTGTTAGATGATTTGTGCTGTGGTTGTTTGTAGATAGTGCTGTTATTTTGAAATAATGGTTATTGTTCGTATTGTTAGATTGTGCTGTGCTATTTATAGATTTATAGATGATGCTGTAATTTTGATAAATTGTTATATCGTTTTGTTAGATGATGCTGTAATTTTGATAAATGGTTATGTCGTTTTGTTAGATGGTGCTGTAATTTTGATAAATGGTTATGTCGTTTCAATAGACTTTTACAGGTACCTCATATAGATGTTATTTGACGGCTTGTTCGACCCCCCCCCCCCTTATGAGGCCTCAGGCAGTACAAAATGCCCTATTTAAGCCCTAGACACTGTTTTTCGTTTGAGAAATGTTGTTAAAAAGTGACCATATTTTCGGCGCCGCCCCCATCAAAATGGTACATCAAGGGGTTGTCAGAAAGGGGATGTGCCCCCCTCTGTTTGGGGGGGGGGTTGAAGGGGGCGGCAGTCCCCTCATCACCAAGAAAATTTTAGACATGTGACAGGCTTAAATGGCCTCAGGTCGATCGTAAGGTAACGTGTAACCAAACGCTGAAAAGCCTTTTGCTCTATCTCAATCTATTGAGAAGTTGCAGCACTTTGAAAATCAGTTTTGATGGGAAAAAAAAAACAATGCAAAATAGTGATTTTTGGGCAATTTTGAGACGATCCCCTTTGCCAATTTTACAGAAGTTTAAGATTGAGCATGCTGTTACATGTACAGAGGCTATTGTCCAGTCAACATTTGTGCCAATTTTCATCAGTAATCGCAGCATTTTTCATAGTTCAACAGCAATTTGAACTTTTAACAGGAGGCTTTCCAATGAAAACGGCCATTTTTGACAATTTCCTCATCAAGAAAAGGGTTAAATGTTTTTTCTCTGAGATTAATAAATTAAAATTAAAGTTGAAATGTTTAACTGGTGGAAAACAAAGGAAGCAATTTTGAAAAAACCTTGGAATGGGTAATTTGTGGACAATTTTTGAAAATGAAAAATCCCGCCTGATTTTGTCTGCAAATTATCTATGCAGGCAATGAAATACTTGGGGATAAATAACAGTCAAGATGTGATGAAGCTCAGATAAGAGTGTATAGAATTTGGCGAAAAAACGTCTTCATTTTTTTAAATAACCAATCAAAATGTTCCGGTAAACAAACAGGTCATCTATATATAGTTCATCATCATCGTAATAAAAAATCACAGAACCATACATCAAAATAGTATCACCATGTATAAAAAGAACATCACCACATAGCAAAATAGTATAACCATTTATAAAAAGAACATCACCATATATCAAAATAGTATAACCATTTATAAAAACAACATCACCATATAGCAAAATTACAGCACCATTTATAAAAACAACAGCACCATATATAAAATGACACCACCAGGTACAAAGTGACACCACCATATATCAAAACGAAGCTCACCATTTATCATTACTGCAGCACCATGTATCAAAAACAACAGCACCAATAATATAATTACATCACCAATAATCAAAATGACAAAACCAGCTAACAAAACCCACAGCACCATCTGTCAAAACGACATCACCATTTATCAAAACCACAAGCACCATTTTATTAAATCCACAGCACCATTTATTTAAACTACAGTACCACCTGTCAAAACGACATCACCATTTATCAAAACCACACAGCACCATTTACTTAAACTACAGCACCATCTGTCAAAACGACATCACCATTTATCAAAACCACAGCACCATTTATTTAAACTACAGCACCATCTGTCAAAAACGACATCACCATTTATCAAAACCACAGCACCATTTACTTAAACTACAGCACCATCTGTCAAAACGACATCACCATTTATCAAACCATAGCACCATTATTAAATCCACAGCACCATTTATTTAAAACTAGCAGCACCATCTGTCAAAAACGACATCACCATTTATCAAAACCACAGCACCATTTACTTAAACTACAGCACCATCTGTCAAAAACGACATCACCATTTATGTCAAAACCACAGCACCATTTACTTAAACTACAGGGACATCTATCACAAACTACATCACCATTTATTAAAACCACATAACCATTTATCAGAACCACAACCACTATCTGTCAAAAGGACATGACCACTTTAGAAAAGTGTTTAATATAAGGCAGCTATGGCGTTCCATAGTTTTTCACGTCTAAACTTCAAATAAAGCTTCATGAGACTGGGCATTATTTCCTTGTTTCGATATGGTCAGTGTTCAAACCTTGATCAAAGTTGACCTATTTTCCCAAAAAAATTCAAATCTTTTTAACCCCTCGGGCCCCTTTTTTGTCCCATTTACTACAATTTCCCCCACATTCTATTAAAATAAGTTTTTAAAATCAATTTTAAAATATAAAATCTAAAAACTACTATGTTTCGTTTTTTGCAAGGATAATGACCCCGAAAAAAATTCCCCCCCAAAAGTAATAAACCGGGCATTCCCTAACTAAGTCCAAAAAAATTCTCAAATAAATTTAAAAACAAAATCACCTCCCCCAAGACATTTGTTCCGGAGGGGTTTCAATTGCCCCAAATGGGATTTTTACATCCTGGGAAAACAACGGGCCCCAAAATTCCCCGTTCCCCAGTATGATGATATCGACAACTGGAAGCTGTAAAATAAAATCAATTTTAACCCTGGACCTACTAAATTTATATAATGGATGAGCCCTGATTTAAATTTGGAACAGTCCATTAAAAGTTTCAGGGATTTTTTTATCTAAAAACAAATATTGAGCTACCATCAGTATTGCGCCTGATCAGACTGGACAGACCTACAGGCTGGTCTGGCTCTACTGTGATGGCAAAGACTGATCACTTTTGGTTATAGTTAGTTAAGGATTAAATACAATGGAAGTTTTTTTTCCAAATTAATTTTGACAGCTAGCTGTTGGCTGCAACTACAGCAAACACTGAACAATATTTTTATCATTAAGGCATTAAAATTTAAGTGAACGTTATTACAATTGACAGCTGTGCAGAGTTTTTACATGTATTTAACCTATAGCTCTTCAAAGTGATTCTTATGTAAAATTCTTCCAAGTATAATTTCCAATAACCGTAAATTATACCATACCCAGACTATGGTATAATTTTCAGTTTTGAAAATTATACCATAGCAATATAACCTGAAATAAAATAAAACACAAAACAAGAAGCAAGGTACAGAAATTTTATTTCAGTCACAAAATAAATCTCATTAGGCTGAGAAATCGAGACATTTTGGCCAGAAACACATGCCAAAATGTAAAACCAATGTATCAAATTGTCAGTTTTTACCAAAGTTAAATACACAATTATTTTAAAAAGTTTAGCATCTTTTTCAAAGATTTTCTGAATAGGACTCTCCATTTCTAATTTCTTAGGCTTTTCAAGATCCACAAGAGAACTTGTTTTTCAAGTTCACCGCTTGTCACTGTTGATGAGACCATTTGCTTCTTGGAATCAAGTACATTTGAAATATCTCTCAACTGGTCACATGAGGGTCGTTTATATTTTCGAACACCTTGGACACTACGGTGTCCTGTACGATCCATTATACTCTGTTCGCAAACGCCAGCTTGATACAAAGTTGTTGCGCACGTGGCGCTTTCCAGACTGATTTGTGAAATTGCCTTCGAGACCACTGCAAATAATTTTTCATCATGTTTTCAAGTTTGTTTTTACCAAGAACTTGAGCAGATAATCTTTTTAGTATCTTTAATTGGACGTTTATAAATTTTACCACATCGTCTCCTAAAAGACTCGTAATAATCTTGATACACCTTGTATATCTTATCAGAAGAATAGTGTTTAATGTTTTTGTTCTCCACCTTTTTGTGTTTTTAAACCACCTTTAAAAGTTTTGTTGTCTCTACCAATAAACTGAATGAACTTTCCGCCATCATCTTCGGAAATAATAAACTGGTCACTTTCAAGATTTGTAATGTTCGTCTCTGCCTCGCATTCCAAACAATTTACAATTGTAAAAGAACACTGCATTCAACAGGCTTTCTGCATTTTTCATATCCAAATTTTTCCTGTACTCCACAACAATTTCTTCCTGTTCTGCACTTACAGGATCAGCCTGCTTGATATTGGCACCGATGCCCTTGCTAGTCACATACTTCATCTGTGCATCTAGACATTTTACGAAATGTTAAGAAACGATCGTCCTTCTCGTTCATATAATTCATATTTGGAATGCCGGAGTCACGAAGATATCTCAAGATTCCACTAGCAATAAGATAAAGTGACCGGGCTGGGTAGAAACTTCCATCCCGCTTCTTGACCTATTAAAATGTAACAATTTAAGAATTAATACACGAACAAAATTGGCAACACACTAAAATTAAATTGGGGCATCGACATCGGACAGGCTGGTAATGTATGCCGATTGAATTATAGAGGTTGTCGGTCCAGAGATTTTAAACATTGTGACATACATAGCCATGCATGTATTTATCAAATAAAACTCAAATCACAAAATTCTAGATTTAAATATACTTTTCTATTACTTTCAATTCCCTATGTTGCATAATTGTAAAAAGAAATTTCCATTTCATTTCCAATAATAACGAAATGCTATTGAAAAAAGATGAAATTCATGGCACAAATTAAAATGCTACGCTTTTACAAGGTTTAGGGACAATCTTTTTCCCATTATATTTAGCCATTTATCTGTTTTTTTGCGAAATAATGGAAATTATCGAAAAACAGCTAAAAAAATGTATTTATCCCGATATGATAAAAACTATTGCTAACAATATCATACAAAATACTGAATTACAAGAAAAATAATGAAAATTAGAATAAATCAAACTGTACCTCCATGAGAAAACGGCTGAGATGGTTTGTTCACATCGTCTACATTAAAATCCTCTAATGGCGGTACCTGTTGGCTAAGTTTGCCGGCATTTTCTGACCGTACGCCATTCGTTGAAGGCTTTTAATGCCCAATTTGTAGATTTTTTGGTAATTTTTTGGAACAGACTGCTCCAGTCGTTCACGTATGTCACAATCCTCAAGGCTATCAAAGCGGCTTGTCTCAGAACATTCTAACGCCGTTGGCAACGGTATATTCATGGATTTTTTGTCTTGATTTTCAGAAAGCAAAATGTTGCTTTGATCACTTTCGTCCATGTTGATTGATATTTCGTTGATAAAGTCCTCTACATTTTGTGTTAGAAGAAAATTCACTCCAACTGTATCAATCCCCAGATCTGTCTCAGCCTGATCAAGGTACTGAGATAAAGCCATATCTTCTTCATAAATGTCCAGATGTTGAGACAAAATTATGTCTTCCAAATTTTCTGTGAACGACAAATTGTCATTCCAAGCCATGCCGAATCATGTGAATTGAAGTAAAACTTTAAAATGAGACAGATGACTGAATAGAGAAAAGGGTCCATGCCGCTACCAATGAAAATGTAGCTTCCACGCGGGGAAAATCAGCCCATTATTTTGATTGACAGCTCATTTCACGTCTTTGCTGCTATGCAAATTCAGATCAAAGGGATAAGATTTTCTGGGCGGAGCAATAGGTTAAAACAGTAGCGTCATGTTATTTTGATTGACAGCTCATTTTACGTCATTTCTGCTATGGAGTAAGTGTTTCTGGGCGGAGCTATAGGTTAAAACAGATACACCATTGCTGCGTTGACGATTTCTGGGTTTGCGTAAATTATACCATAATCACGTGACCTTTCTTATGCGACCTCACTCGACTTCGTCTCGTGAGGTCAAGGCATAGGTCGCATAAGAAAGGTCACGTGATTATGGTATAATTTACGCAAACCCAGAAATCGTCAACGCAGCAATGGTATATCTATTACGTATACTGATTATCATGTATGAATATAAATAGATATCTAATAATTCAACATAATAAGAGAGTTCGACAGCTAATTGTAACAATTAAACTGAAAAGCTATAAATTTCATATATTGGCAGTTTCTTTTTTACCGGTAACTGAATTGTAATGAAATAGTAAATTCTCAACGAAAACATTAAGCAAATTTGTTCAGATTAAAGCAACACCCAAAAAAACTTGAAATAAAAAACTTACTACAGTTCATTTCATCGGAACCATCCTCACAATCAGTTTTACCGTCACATACATTATTGCCGTTAATATAGCCTTTACCCATGCAGAAGAAACTGCCTGAAATGTACGGAAAATGTGTGACTTTTTTATTATAATTTTAAAACGTTATATATGTACATGTATATGAAATTTGTGCCTGTCCTTTACATATTATTTTTAACTCATGTTGATAAGTGTTATTTACCTCCAAATCTTCTGGGCCACCTGGCTTTAGGGAAAAAATTAACGAAAAGCAATTTTCATTCCTAGTTTAAAATACAGGTGGGATCACTTCCTACTGTTTGATTATATCCCCATTAGCATGCAAAATTCATACCTGAAAGAATGTCTTTCCATATCTTAATAACTGTTCTCTGATAAAAAAATGAGTAAGGCAGAGGAAACATCAAGTGAAAAGCATTTGATTTTACTAAAAACACACCAGATATAGTTAATATTGGTCAATGATCTCCAGTTGAAACCAGGGAAAAAATTTGACAACCCTATTGGCATTATTGCACAAACACCCTAAATTTATTATTAAAGTTGACAGTGAGAACATACTGATAAAAATATCTTGCCTTCAGGTGCAGCCATTTTTTCACAGATAAATGCACGGAGGATCATACAGTTGCTATAGCTAAATGTGTATGGTCGGTCATATACATAATCCTCACTGTTTTTATGTGCAAAAACACATCCCCCGTTAGAGTTGTCCGGTTGGTCATCGGACCAGAAGCCCTCGGTTTCCGTCGCTTCCATGCCATTACTCCATCTTAGTTCTGTACAATTAGGACAAGCAGTCGACTTCTTTCGCGCCAAACCTTAATTAAAAATGTAAGAGAATAAAAATTAGTAATGTATTTCCGGGGTTGACATTGCATGTGCTGGTATTTTAGCAGAAAATACAAGTCAAGTTCTATTTTGGTCATGGTCAGATGTTTTTTACAGTTATCCTCTCTTGAACTTGGAAAAGATTTAAATATTCACAATTTATAATCATTATCTCGGCTATAAATATGTAATAAGCAATTTGAAAGAGGTTAACACTGAATAGTTTCAGGGCCTTGAATTTTGTATAAAAAAGGTTTGTGTAAACATTGAATAGTTTAACCGAGAATGGAAAAAATGGTTCGTGCAAACAAATTTTGAACTAAATATTATTAAAACATTTGAAATTTTAGCTGCATGCGGGGGCATTCGCGGCGTAACGACACATTTTTTAAACACAAAGCGTTGAACTAACCAATATAGTAAGAATCTGCTGATGCACGAATTTCAGTAAATTTTCTACCGATGAGATCATTCTCCGGCTGGTCTTTGATTGTAACTAGACGAGATCCATAACTGAAATGAAAATGAATCCCATATTATAGCCGCAAAATTACGTTTTAACAGTTTTAAAAGCAAAAGCATTAGTCACCTTTGGTTTTTTTAAAACTTTATCCGTAGACTTATATGCAGGTGGGGATTTCCTCTATGGCATTTATCAAATATTTCAATGATTGTTTAACAAAGACAGTTATCATATAATTATAAGATATAAAAACTGAAAGTTAAATAGTGAAACAGATTTATTAATATTTGACTTTTCACTTGAATAGAATATTAAATTTTCTTAATCGTATACGGAACATATTAATGAAAATACAATAAGAAAATGAAAAAAGTCCTGGCAGATGATTCGAAGTTAACATAGATTAAGGAATCACTTGAGAATACTTTGGAATTCTGGAAAACACAGAAATGTGAGGCACCGTGCAGTAGTGAAAACAACGAATCTCTTCGATTTTAAAAAATGAATATAAATTCAACCCATATGATTTTTGCATAGCTGGTTTGTTAAGGCAATGATATTTCCTTTTTTATACAAAATGAAAAATATAGAGAGCTATGTAACTCCTAAACCACTTTTAAAACGATTCTCTTTATATTTCTGATTTATATCAACTAATAATTAACTTATCCAATTATTAAAGTATCAAAATTCGTCTTTTAACCCATTACACGATATACACGCCTATTTACGCCTCCATCACCCTATTTGTTGTCTCAAATGGTGAAAAAAGCCTTATTTATGCCCCCAACACTAGTCTTGTTTTTGTTTGAGAAATGTTGTTTTAAAAAGTGACCACTTTTTCGGCACCGACCCTATCCAAAAGATACATCAGGGGGTTGCCAGAAAGGGGATGTGCCCCTTCTGTTTGGGGAGTATAAAGGGGGCGGCAGTCCCCTCATCGCCAAGGAAATTTTGGACTTGTGAGAGGCTAAAAATGACCCCAGGTCGATCATGAGGTAACGTGTAACTAACGCTGAAAAGCCTTTGACTCTATCTTAATCAATTGAGAAGTTGCAGCACTTTGAAATCAATTTTGATGGGAGAAAAAACAATGCAAAATGGTGATTTTTGGCAATTTTGAGATGTCCCTCGTTGCCATGGTAACAGAAAATTTAAGACTACAAAGGCAATGGTCCAGTCAACATTTATGTCAAGTTTAATTAGTACTGAAGCAGTTTTTATAGTTTTATAGCAATTAGACCTTATAATTGGAGACTTTTCAATGAAAACAGCCATTTTTCACAAAATGCAATAATGGGTTCATGGAAGGAACTGTCTGTGCATATACAGACAGTTTTCCAATCGCACCTTTTCGGCCCTTTCCGTCAACTTTCGGATTAGAAAATTCATTCGGAACACCTTCGGCTATTTTCTTATCCGAACACTGAAAGGGCCGAAAAGTTGCGATTGAAGAATATTATGAATAATAGCCGGGATGTTACGACTGACAGACCAAACAAGAAGTATCTTTAAAAAAAGATACTCGGCAAAGTAAAACTGGTTCACTTGCAGGTAAACTTGCATATTGTAGTTTTTCTTAACTTCTTTAGTATGTGTTTTTAAACAAACCCGTGCTGTTTTGGAAGTGAACTCAATTTCAAACACCATCATCCACGCAGTCGGTATGGCAATTATTTTTATAGATACTTAATTAATTAATTATTAATATGCAAAGTATATATAAAAATATTAAACATTATCAATCGAACACATCAATAATCATACAATATATTAGACATTTATTGAACATCATAAACTAATTAGGGTACCTGATAAGTTCTGGACAAAATTTTGTGTAAAATAAACTCAGTTCTTACGTTTAATAAACCATTCACTAGAAAATGTAATAAGATCTGAATGCAAGAAGTCTTGTTAAACAGAGCTTAGATATCTGTGCAATTTAACTAGAAAGTTAAAGAACTATCTTGTACATTTATTTTAGAAACATCCTTTACATCCAAGAACTATCCTTAACATCTTAGTTTAGAACTACCTTAGAGTGACAATAACTACATTTACATTTTATTTTAGAACAACCAGGGTCTTTCAAATAGAATTTGAAAGACCCTGGAATAGCCAATGAGGTTCCCTGATTTTATTTTGTATTTTAAAAATGACCAATAAAAACGTTATGTTCTTCCCTGAAAATTTTACAGGAAGTCAAACTGAAAACAGACCAGCCTTCGGCCGAAAAAATGGGACTGAAAAGTCAGGGACAGGAAAAGGTAAAGGGGAGAATAGTCTGGCGATTTAGGAAGGGATGTTAATGTATTGATAATTTTACCTTTCACACATTTCTTCTGCTCTTCCGTAAGTTCTTATGTGATCTCCATGAAATATTTTGTAACACTTATCCCAACCTTTAAACCATCCTTTACCTTCTTCACATTCCAACTGAAAGATAGAAAACAATCTATAATGACACAATGGGCACTTTTGTACAAATCTCATATGTAGTTCCAGTTTAGTACTACTAAGTTTGTATCATTTTGCAATCATGCATTTTTACAATGTAATTTGTTCATGTGTTTATGTATATGCATGAGAATGTGTTATGTACAGTCTCAAATAAAATATCTGTTCTGTTCGTATCACAACGTCGCGACGATAATTCGCTTCGCTTGGGCCGACCGGACCCTTAAACGTGATGAACGACATGATAATTGGCACATTAAGGACACCATACATGGATGTCACATGATACTTCTATTATGAAGTGAAAAACAGTTTTCATTGAAGAAAAAAATCAAACAAAAATTTTTCCGATAATATTTTAGTAGTTTACATGTTAACACACGAATATTTGTAATGAATACCTTTTTGTCAGTTACCTTTGTCAAATATGCAAACATTAAGAAATCGTAAAGATTGTTCCTCTAAATAAAGAAAACGATCACTTTTACTATAATATACAACAAAAAACATCTCGACTTAATTCTCCCATTGATCTCATAAAAGTCTTTCTTACAATAATGTTTAAAAACCTTTAAAGCTACTTAAATAAAGGCTCTTTGAATTAAATTTTAGACATGTGATAATAAGAGAAAGTAACAAAATAATAAAAAAATGAATATTGGGTGCATAATTACAAAATAAATCACGAAATATTCAATTTTTTTTCGTCAAAGAAATCCAATAAAGTAATGTTTTACTAAATTTTACTTAATATATAAACAATGCATGATGTCAATAAATACTGACATTAAGTTTGTTTCTTCTATTCCATAACTATATATCATATCTGTCAATAAGGGGAAAATTGTGTTTTTAAAGGCACATTTAGCCTCTTAAAGTTTTTTTCTTTCTTTCTTTCTTTCTTTCTTTCTTTCTTTCTTTCTTCTTTCTTTCTTTCTTTTTTTTCTTTTTTCTTTCTTTCTTTCTTTCTTTTTTCCTCCCTGCCTTCCTTCCTTCCTTCCTTCCTTTCTTTCTTTCTTTCTTTCTTTCTTTCTTTCTTTCTTACTTTCTTTCTTTCTTTCTTTTTTCTTTCTTCAAGAGCACACATATATTTTATAAGGTTGTACAATGAATTAAGAACATCTATAATACTGAACACCTGAAGAAAATAACGTTAAATGTAAATAATTACTGATAAAAGCAGCAGATTTTAAACACAGAAGTATGTTGACGACCATATAAAATCATTATAACTTCTATAATTGCAAAACACAAAATATGCAAAAGTAGGCTGAACTGTAACGTCAGTGAGTAACGTGCTAGATCACCCAATATAACAAAAATGAAACTGAAAAAAAGTGTTTTGAAGGCTTAATGGGCCTTTAAACAAATGAGAATTTTCTTAAAGCTCGTGCATCCAATGTTTCAAGATGCCAATGTTTTTGTAAATGCTCTCAATGCTAACAGAATCAAGTCACATGAACCGTATTCAAACATTTTCAAGTGTACAAGAAACTTATGAGATACGTGTAATTGTGACAGCATACCTAAAACAGACGATAATATACATGTATAACATACATTACATAAAATACAATTTTCAAGCGAACAGAATAACTAAAAACAACACATACCCCATTGGCTTCGTCTGCAGAACCCGTTGTTAATAAGGTAAACAAAATTGGGACATAAACTGTTAAGTACATATTCCTGTGCAGGGGTTTATTATTATTACATTTTTATTCTGTCATCTTTTCTTCTTCTGTTGAACTTATGTTAAGAAAATAAACGTCCTAAGATCACCAAAGATACAGATTTAATACACTATTAAGTCGCACGCAATTATTACACAACAAAACATCCAAAAACTATTCCGGTTTAGCATATAATGCAAACATGAAACATGATAACCATAATTATGAAATTGCTTGAAATCACTGATCCATTTTACTCTTCCTTATCAGAAGAAGGGAAAACTGACTTCGTTGGTACTCACGACCGTGACGATATTGCATTTTACTTAGAAGTCCAAATTATTAGTCTGGAAGCATGGATGCACACGTTGCGGACGAAGGAACACAGTTTTTTTAAACATTCGTTGCACAGATAAAGCAAAAGTTAGGCAGTGATTCGTAAAAGTGTACTTTAAATTATGGGAGGTTGTAATATCCACCTGAGCATTGCAATACTACACCTTATGTTTTCTATTGGTATAATTGTCCATTAGCTTTTATTTCTACTTCTGAAGAGCTTTTTTATTTTTTGGTTTCCTGTTATAATTTTCAAAAGTAACTCATTGGCGATGTACCTGAACCATCTTTTTCCTCTAAATATTGCATTTTCGCAATTTGTACAGTTACAGTGTATGGAAGTCAAAATACTACTTAGTTTACCATGTTTACAGTTTGCTACTTTAATGACAAAATAAAAAATTAATGTGTTCACATTCATCGCTACTTTTTTCACGTGAGTAAGATCTAAAATGCTCTAAAACATAAGAACTTAAACGATATAAAAACCATATTTGCCACTTTAAAGAAGGATTTGATTATTTTTAGGCATAATGTGCCTATAAATAACTATTCGAATCCCATTGTTGTTTCCTGGTACAGTTATTTGTTTCTAATAATTATTGAAGGTTATCTGAAAGACCTAAAAAATGTAAGTGGGGAAAGTTTTCCTTTTTTACAAAAACTTTAAAAAATAACATTAAAAATGATCCGGGACCGCCACGAGGAGTTTTTCCCTTTTTTCAGTAAATCTGTTTTTTTACCCCACCCTTTTTTTTCAACTTACCTTTGAAAAAACAATTTTTAAATTTTAAGGGGATATTATGACAAGTTTTTTCTTTTTAGGGAAAATTTTAAATTTTAAAACCATTAAGAAAATTTAAATTAAACGTTTGTTACCACAATTTAATTTAACTAGAATCCAACAAAACAACGATAAAAATATGTGACAAACATAGGACTCAAATAATTGATTAATACTACATGTATGATGACAACCTATAAATAAAAGAAGTCTTTCTTAATCATCTCATGTAGTATCTCATGTTTCTTTTTATTACTGATATGTCAATGTCACTTTTCCATTTAGTTTCACTATTCAACAGAATCGAAGCTAATGTGAAACACAGGAAAGTCGGAATGTGATTGCTAATGTATCCTACTGCGGGACACCCTTATAGTTTCAGTAACCCTTATTATGTCTATTTGTAACTTCTTAATTTTAGATGGGTTCTTTCCGTTTGCAACCTCTTTTAGCATCTGATATACTATTATGTGTATACTTGTCCTGTAGCTACTTCCTGTAGCTACTTTTTTTTTATTTGTTAACTTTACCTGATGACGTACGACCTAGAAAGTTATACAGTTGTTGCCGTTCCATGGGAGGCCAAGTAAAGTCGCAACCGAACAGATGAATATGGCATAAAAAATCCCTTTAAAGTGTCATTTACACGGTGTTACCCGTGACACTGCTCTAGTTAACTAGTATTAATCATTTTAGCCTTTTTCATTCTTTTCGTTGTAAATATTTTGCTTCTTGAACCAATGAAGACTTTTTATATCGACAACTGTATTTAAAACTATTTTTATTATTTTCGCGTGGCCGATTGGTTACGTGACGGACTAGTTATCTAAGAATTGTTGGTCGCATAGGTTTAAACCCCGTCATGGACAAGCCGTTGTTTCCTTGAGCAAGAAACTTTACATTCATTGCTTAGTACTGGTTGGTTCCAGGACCGGATTCGAGAGTGTTTCATTAACATTATACCCATAGCTTCCAACACAATCAAACTAAAATAACTTAGTATATACTAAATTATTATTATCAACAACAACAACAATGTTTGGATTAAGTAGACTACTAAATAATTATCATTTTCTTTATCATATTCTATTGTACATTATTTTCCCTTTTAATTGGCTTATCGCTTCCACGAGAGCTTTTTGTTTGACCTTTCTCACAATTGACTACGACATTGGCAATTCCTATTCTTACATTTCCAAATTAATATGTAATCAATTTTGTTGCTATATAAATATTGTCATCATTATTTTTAATATCTTTAACTTCATTTGACAAACTCGTACTATTATCAAACTCAAAACCACCTTCAATCGTTACACCATTTTTTTCCTTTTAATTTTCTTACATCGACATTATAGTTACTTTTCACTCTTTCTTCGCTCTTATATTTTACTATATCTTTGTTAGTTTCTCACTTCACATATTCTTTTCTCTCATCACTTTTGTCGTACACACTGCTTACTTCATATTTAAATTGTGTTCTTATCGTGTCAAGATATCTTCAATACTTAATTTACTTAATTCACACATCCTCATGAATATTTAACAATTTTTCAGTTCGTCACATTTTCCACTACTATCGTTTTTTTTCTTTTAATAATTTCTTCATTTTTCTGATTCATTCTTTTAGATTTTAGACCATTTTTATTTTATCTGATTTATATAACATGTGCTACGTGCTGCCTTGTTGATCTTTGTTTCAGAATTCCCATCCTTTTTGCCAGCATTGCTTTGTTTCTTATATCCGTTTGTTCCATCGAATTTGTGGTTAGTTGCTTGGAAGATTTGTCTTTAAATATCAAACTCATATACCTTTTTATACGTTTCTGCCATAACAACTATGTCATATCCTTTTTGTTTTTGTGTTCAAAGAAAGAAAAAAACGTATGAAAAAAGAATTTTACAAAATTAATTATACAGCTGTAAAAGGTTAGTTATTCAAATTTCATTACAAAATCAATGTTGTTTATTGATATTTTAGGTACATTAACAAGAATATTTGTTAGTGGAAATTCATTTAATTGATGAATGGGGGAGTTCTCTTTGTTATACCCCACTTCAAAGAAAAGTAGGTATATTGTTTTGCAGCATGATGTCAGTCTACCGGTCGGTCTGTCCATCAATAACTTGAGAACAAATTTCCATAAAACTTGGTCCTCAGAAGTAAAAAAATTCTTATTTTAAGGCCAAAAGGCTTTCAGGTTAAGTCATATTCATATTGTATGCCAGCTTATAGATTATGTATAATGTAATATATTTCTAACATTTTGTGTTTTTAATTATAATAAATAATTATGAATACAAAAAGATATCATAGTAATTGATATGCAGCTTATTTGTTACTTAAGTAATAAAGATCTTTATCTTTATGGATAAACTTTAATTGTACATAATCAAGTTTTTTGAAAACTTTATACAAAGTTAAATTATTCATTTTTATCTTCTGTGAATAATTCATCAGTTTTAATTCGCATACAAAAACAAAATTCAGAGATACGGTTATAAAATTAAAAGTTAAAAAAAGGTGAATTGAAAAATATTCAGTGTTAAAAAAATTTTTACATACCTTAAAAGTTTCCTCTTTTTTAAAAAAAATTTGGTAATTGTTTTATTTTAAAACCTTCCATAAAAATCCCGTAATTTAATAATGTTTTTTTCCAAATTTTTAATTGAAAAATTTTTTACATTTTCTTTTGTACAATGTTAGTCAAAATACAGGGAAAAAAAATTGTTTAACTTCCTCAGGTAAAAGGGAATGTTAAAGTTTTTGCATCATATTCTTATTCATATACAGGGGCTATAGCCGCTCTTGCCTGTGAAACCGGAAACCCCCTGCTCCATGGTACAGGCCATTACAACGCTTTCCCGAAAAAAAATTTAAAAGGTCCACCGTGGCGTTGTAATCGGTTCAGATAGTATCATCTGCTCCCCTGGAATCATTCTTTTCGACTGGTGAAAATACGATCCAAGCACATACGGATTATTACACCATCTTGAAACTAAAACTGCCTTTGGGTTTGGGATATTTCTATTGCCCAAGAATTTACGAAGAAGCTCTGTGCAAATTTTACCAATTTCGTCGTTTGACAGCGTTTCCATGTACTCTGCAGCGTCACCAGCAATCCACCCAAGAAGAGTGTTGTTCTTTGTGAATATTTGATCAAAACCAAATATACGCTTATACCAGTCATTCTGAACATTTTTAATGGATGTGTCATCCCAAGCAAATGCTATACTGCGATAAGTTGGTGCTAATATTGGTTGGTCAAATTCCAAAAATATTTTATTCACTCGTCCCAGTTCTAGAGAAGTCAGTACATCAATTTTGGATTGAGGAAGTTTCGGTTTGAAAAGGGTTTCGTGGTGCTTTTTCAAGTAACCAATTGATGACGTCACAATAACATGATCTGCTTCGAATGTCGACCCGTCTCTGGTCTTAATTTCTATAATTTCATCACTTCGTAATATTTCAACCACTTCCTTTTTCAACATGAGTGATTTCTTTGGAATTAATTTCATAAGATGATTAATTATCTGGGCATATCCGCCAGGGATGTGGACATCTCCGCCTTCTGGTATGTTATACTCCTGTTCGTGTTTTTCCCAGGTTATTCGTTCAAGTTCATCCCCTTCATGAAACCTGCAATGATTTGTCATAGCTTTCAATGCTTTTTGCATATCCTTAATGTAACTGTCGTCTGCTTTAACATTTTGCAATTCTTTTTCCAGGGATTCAAATATAAGCGGCGCAAATGTGATTATTCGGCCATGTTTTAATCGCTCATTTATAATTGTTCGATAAACTTCGTCTAGGACTCGATTGAAAATATGAAAAGCTTCTTTTATGATTTCTCTACTAATTTCAACCCCATCTTCCCTTAAGAATCTTGAACTCATCCTGAAATTGAAAAAAATGTACCAATTGACCAGGATGTCTGTAAGAAACATAATAAACAACCGCCATTAAGTCTTCATTAAAACTGCGATTTCATACAACTACTACTCTCCCTGTCTAATTATTGATAACCAGTAGGAACAAGCGATCGTCCTTTTAATACCTAGAAAAGGTAATCTTTCAGTCAGTTTCACATTAGTTTACATTTAGGCAGTGACTCGGAGATGTAGATGGCAGAAACCATGGCACTTCCTAATTAAATTTGTTTCATACAATTGTGTTGGACACCTTTTAAGACGGGTAATATTGAGTTTTTTCTCATCTATGTAATTAAACTGTATATTCTAATACTTTTCATGGCATTTATTTATGTACAAATCCCTATCGAAAACATTACCAAATGGAGACAATAATGCAAGTTTAAAGTATTTTCATAAAGCAAACTATTGGCATTCGATCTGTCCATGTAATAGTAATATTATTATTTACCTGTTGTTAATCCGATACGGCTGTAATGCTCCTATGGCCTCAGCAATCTGAAAAGTTGAATTTTGTAAAGTAGGACCATGAATCCAATTGGCTCCCAATTCAACAGGGAATTTACCATCACCAAACTGAACTGTGTGTATCCGGCCACCAATCCTGAAAGATGTTTATTAAATGTTTTCGCAAATCAGATGATTAACTTTAAATTTAAGAAAAGCATTTGTAAATTGAACACAGTTAATGTTCTTTAAATACATTGCTTGGTTTTGACTTGACAAGCTTATGACAATATGTGACTTATGCTCCATTATTTCGTCAGTAATCGTATGTTCTTTAAAAGTCACATATGAGTAAACTTTAAGGGTCTCACATTTATAGCCTTACACTAGTAAAAAGGCGACGTTGGCCACGTGATTGGGTTTAAATGATATCCCCTAGGACATCCAGAACTCATGAGCTTTTGTATTAACCGGATATTGTGTATGACAAAGAATAAGTATAAAAACGAAGTAAATACGTTGATTTTACCACGCAGTAATTGTTTTTACAGTTGTGTTATTGTCAATTTCCCTTTATCACTACTTTGTTCGATTACAAATCTGTTTGGAACACCTTGTCGATTATTCATAATCATATCGGAGTTTACACGGATTCAATAGTTTTAGGAGTTAACATAAACAGAGGCTGTAGATTAACGAAGTTAAGTTGTGATTGGAACATATTTCTGACAATATAAATAAATTTCAAAATGCCTCTTGTCAACAAATCCAATATATCGTGAATTGTCTTTTAGACCGTTTTTTTCTGTTTCTAATAAACATTAAAGTTATCAAATGCTAATAAAGTACTTTTTACTTGGATCTCTATTAATATACTGAAGAGGACTTATACTAACTAAGCAAAACATTAAAACTAATAAAGTAATTGTTTACATGTTTAGTTTTCTAGCATAGCTTAGATCGTTCTGTGTGTTTGAGGTTCTCAGAGAGGGTCGAAATGACGCGATTAAAGGACAACGAGTAAGATTAAAATATCCTCCGCCCATATATATTTCAATTATATTTGAAATAAAATAGCTAGAAAACCTGTCGGCAGCCTCAAGTATAAGAACATTTCTAAATCCAGCATCAACTAATCGTCGTGCCGCTGATATTCCCGCCATTCCAGCGCCGATAATGACAACATTCGGCTGTTTCCGGAGGACACTCATCGTGTGTGTTGGCTGCAACAATTATTATATTCTGAAATAAAGTTTAACAAGATATATATTCACTCCGTTGCTAAAACTTCTTTTTTCATGAATGGAAGTTTTTTTTTTTTAATTTGAAATGTAATCTCCCCTCTTGACTTTCCTCAAATTTACCATTTTTGTGTAGGATTTTCATGCAGTCCACCTGAAGAAATCTGAATTAGCGGAAATTCATATAATCATTACTGAAAAGTTTCAAGAGTTAATTTCAGAAAACATCTGGGCAGTATGCCCATGTGTACACAGTACGGATCACAAAAAAAAGTATGGCATATAGTCAAATGGTGAATGTCAAAAACTATATAAAAGTTACACATTTTCTTGAGGCAATAATGGATGCTAAGGACAGTACTAGTAAATAAACACTAAGAACAGATACCATCCTATCAGTAACAGTGTACTAACACAAAGTAAAACAAAAATGTATACGTATGTACATGTATATAATTACTGTACAAATCTTGCAGCGTTTAATTGGGACAAACTTTTTTTATTTATTATAAAGAGTAGTGTTTCATATACCGAATGTTTTAGAAATAAGTTTCTAATTTCTATTTCTGTTAGATATATAGTATACATGTTCTTGACAAAGGCAGTTCTATTTGATCTATGATCGTTTCCGTATTTTGTTTCGACTGTTCAAACATTACATCTTGTTTTAAGTTAATTAATTAACTTGCAAATACAATTCTGCATAATGCAGACTATTAAACCAGACGTTTTTGAATCAGAAAAATCTGAAAAAACATTCCAAAATTTCAGCCTAGTCATTGTGTTCTACTGTACAAACATTTATTGATTCATTTATTCATTCTTATGTTTTATTTTGTCTTTAAAGCCATTATGTAGAATTTACACGTATTATACCTCATGTGTATACATTGTAGTCTCTTCAACATATGGCCCTGATTAGGCTTGATACAAGTATAGAACGAGGTCATCCACGCAGTCCAATCAGGGTCTATAGCTTAATTTGTTTGTATTTTGGTACAGAAATGTCTTATTGTTTAAAGGACTAGTCGATACTCAAAGCATGGCTAAGTCATTACACAAATTCAACATGTTATTGATTAAGAAAAAACAAAATAAACTTACCGGTATAAAAATATCAGTATTTATGACTCTCTCAAGTTCCTCTTTATCGAACAGATAGCTTAAGCTTAATGTTTACATTTAATCTGACCGTAAAGATAAACGATGTTAAAGCAAGACAGTACATATTGTAATAATTTCGTATACTACATCAACCAATTTTTCGGTCTATTTTAAGTACGAAAAAGTTCGCTTTTAAAAATCTAGTAGCGGATCACAGTATCCCCTTTAATAACTGTGATGTAGACTTTTTCAGGAAAAAATCATGCTTATATATCCTTACATCCGAGCTCTTGGATTTATTATAGTCCAAGGTATAAAATAAATTCAATGCATAAAATTCATTACGGAATAAACATTGACACTTAAAAAGTTTATTACCTTTAATTGTCTATCTGCGCTTAAAAACATGTGGTTGCTTAATTACCTAGCTCAAAAGTGGTTATAAGGTTTAAAGTTTAGAACCAAACCAGGACAAAAGTTTTTAAGGACATGAAGTTAAAAGGTTATTTCTGTAGCTTTTTTGCCTTTCATCTGTCCCCACATAGCCGGGTTTGTGCAGTGGTCTTGTTTTGACACCAAAGTAGGATTATAGTACCAACTTGAAAAGCTTGGAATTTTAACATGCGAGTATGGCGCTAAGTTTGACATCACCTTGTATTTTGAAGTCCAGCTATTCCTTGGGTTGGAGTAATGGATTTATATTTGACCTTTGCATTAAAAGTACTTGATTTGCTAGACCACACTGTATTACTGGCGCCAGTGATGACATATTTGTTGCAGTGATGACAGAAATCTGAACAAAATGTATAAAGAGAAGTAATAACTTTGAACATAATTGTCGAAATTGCACATTGGGATAAAGGTAAATAATACTCAACATTTCATTTTCAAATTAAACATAGATTTGATATTAAATTGTTTTGCATCCTCTTATTTGTATCACTGTAATCGGTTGATATCTTTTTTGATTGGACATAAGTATATACAAATGTAGTTACTAGACACTGGTCCTATGTTTGTGGTAAGGTAACGGTAATAAGCCCGAATAATGTTAACAGTAACACCTTGATAGGTTACACTGCCATTGGTTAAGATGGCATGATTATCACTTCAGACAATGTATTTGATAATATCGATTGAGATTGAGATAAATTAAACTGTGAATATTTATGAATTAAAGTTCATTTTATTACACATAATTTAATGTCGTCAATCAATTTTGGTTTGTTATAACTGCTGCTAAAATAGACCCTGTGCCCGAAACATTCAGAGCTGTAGTCACACGGAAACTAATCCGGCTACATTTTGGCGTCCCTATGTGGGCATATACAGTAATTGAAATTGATATGTATGTATATAATATTGATATATTAAGTGATAGTCAAAGATATTGTTTAAGTTGAAATTTATTGCAAACTTTAAGATTATTGATTGACTAGATAGTTGTCACGATGGATAATAGGAACCCACCCCTACGTTACGCACGCATCCCTACTGCAGTGGCCTCGAAATACGTGTCCAGCTATGTGGGACTGACCAAAATCTGTTTTTTCATTTACCTGCGAGTGCATATGGTCTGTTTAATGACCAGTCCCATCAGTCCCCTCATACGTCATCACATAGGCTTAGATAATCAACCTTAATTAAGTAGGTCATTGCATGGTGCTAGTGTTGCCCAAACTCCTGTATCAAATGCAACAGTTGCATCTTTTCCCAATTCAAGATCCGTGTTTAACTTAAAAAATGCTTTCAATAGTAATGCGCCTATAACTGCTTACCACAATACTGTTAAACCAAGAGACATAGGCATATGTTCTAAGCAAAAACATAACGAAAAAATCCTTCTTTTATCGCCACAGAAAGAATACTTTTAAAGATATAACTAGATTTAATAAAAAGGCCCCTAAAACTATTGCATTGCGTTTTATAATTTGTATGAAAGATGAAGCACGGTTTTATCTCGATACATTACAGCGTAAACAGACATAAGAACCTTTGTGAGAGAATTGACTTCTGCTTTTGGGTTACGTCGATTAGCACCCTAAGGTAACATTGGACAACAGAGCACGCTATTAGATGAAATAATTTACAATCAATTCAATTAAGGGGATAGGAAATTATTATTTTAAAAATTATACAAGGCTTGAAATGGAAAAAAATCTAGGTCACACGATTATTATGGTCAAGATCAAATCAGATTTACAGTCTGACAATCAATGTAGACCTCAATACCAAAATAGATTTCCCGAAAGAGACATTGGTAGTTTGCTACCATTGTCAGAAAGAGGGTCATGTGGCAACTAGGTGTCCGACAACTCCAACAGGGTAAGCTAAATGCCCCTAGCTCAGCCTCTTCCAATAATAGTAATTCTTATAAATCTGTTACTTTCAGTAAGAACACAAAAATCTCAACTTAATTGATTCTTAAGTAAATACGCTTAAGAATGACGATACCCGCGGAAACAGAAAAGTATAACACCATCATTGCATGTAATTTATAAGAAGAATAAGACTCTCAAAAATCAAGACAAACGAATATTTTTTGAGGCAAATAAGGTCTAAATCGCTGTAGTAAGAAATAGCTCTAGGTCTCCTTCTCCTATCAAGGAAACTCAGAAGTCATTTGATACTAACAGGATAGAAACAGTTAGTCCATAAACAGTCACAGTTCCTCAAATGCTTGATGGTACTTCCATGCAGTAGTTAACAAACAGGTTTACTTTTTGATACAGGTTCCCCTTGGTCTAAATTGTCAAAACAATTATATGAGCAGATATAGAAAAATATTACATTAAATGCAGACAATGAGAAACTTACTGTAGCTATTGGGTCTATCCTAAACATACTCGGTAAAGGTCAACAGAAGCCAAGACTAATGACTCGATATAACTCGTTGCCGATCTTAACTGTTTTGTAGGTCAAGACTTTTATTGCCAAACACGGGCAATCATTTTCCTATCTAAAAAATCTAAAAAATGGCAAACTAAATCTGGCCTAGAACAACTTCACAAGCTTAGCTAAAACTGTATTGGAAAGGTTTCACTAGTACAGAAAACTATTGTTCCTCCACTTCTGAAATACAAACTTTAACAAAAGTAAATTATCCACTGAACGAGAACAACTATTTGATAGAACCCTTTAAAGAGTCCCCAGAAGAAAAATCATTTAATAGCAAGAGCTACTGATGAAATGCATGGCTGTTGTGTTTTTAATACTACATATGACTCTGTCAGACGGAAGTTGGCGATTCGATATTGACTAAAGACATTTACTGTAACGTACGCTTATCCATAACCTAATACACAGCTAATTTTTTACTCTTTAACTGACTCAAAATTTAACAGCTGTACTGCCCCAGCTTCAGGATACTGGCAGGTCCCTATGCATCCTAATAAAATCATTGTAAGACCAAATTTGCAACGCCAAGTCGCGGTTTATATGAATTTCTTGTCATGATATTCTGTTTAGGTAAAGTAGGTGTAACTTTTGAAAGATAAATCGAACGTGTTCTAGGACGCTTACAATGGCGGAAATGTTTAAGTTTTTTAGATGACGTAGTCATTTCAAGTCATGACTTTGAAACTGCTTTTGAAAATCTCAAAAGTGTTCGAAAGATTGAGACAAGCAAATCTAAAACTAAAATCTTCCAAATGTTTTTTTTTCAAAAACTAAGATTAAAAGTTTTCTTTGTTTATTCAATTACTATAGGCCTTACATCTGACAAAAAAAGAAAGTACGATTTTGCTGGAATGATGAGGGTGTAAAGGCTTTTAAACTTCTGAAATCAAAATTAATTTCCTGTAAGCTTATCCTTCTCGAGATGGCATTTTAACTTTAGAAACGGATGTCACAGCCTCCGGAACAACAAGTTTGTTACAAATACAGGACAATCAGGAGGTAGTCATCGTTTATGCCAGTAAACCTCTCTCGGCTTTGCAAGAAAATTATTGTACCTCAATCAGAGAATAACTCGCTGTATTAACCTTTGCCCGACTTTGTAGACGCTTTGAAATACATATAGATCAACGGTTACTGATGAATGGAAGGAGCGAACTTTGCCTGCGCTACTGAAAGATTTCTCCCCTCAAAATATATTTTACGCTGGTGAAACGGGGCTTTTCTACAAGATCATGCAATCATATTCTCTGAATGTCCGTTGTGAAACCTACACTGGGGGCAAAAAAGGAAAAGAAAGATTAACTTTCCTAGTTGCTTGAAATATGGATGGATCCGAGAAGCTAAAACTCGTTTTCATCCAAGATGTTTTAAGGGTGTAAAGTACTTACCTGTGACTTACCTTGCCAATAAACGGGCCTGGGTGACAGGAAATATTTTCTCTGACTGGGTGCTACAACTTGACAGAAAGTTTTCATCTCAATCGGAAAAGGTAAGATTTGCATTATACTTTTAATAAGTCAATAAATCAACACGTTTCATTACGATTTAAAAGAATGACAACTAGTAAACTTTGATTAATATCTAAGCATATTGTGCTTTATATAAACTAAGCAACAGTAATTTGAATATATTAGTTAAAGCCATTATGAAAAAGCCTTTGAAAATTGTTTATTCCGCTATATAGTATTTTTTCGGTATTAAAGCACGTTATACTGTTTGAATTAGTTAACATGTATTCTTTACAATCAACCATGGTTTAATAGTGAGTGTTTTGAAAAGCAGCAGATATTTTATAAATGTTACAAATATCGTGATTGTCAGAATGATCTTAATAGAGCTGACATGCTAAAAGCCAGGTCTGAATACAAAACGATATTATGTAAATGTAGATTTAATTTTGATAAAGAAAAAAACAAATAAGTTGTTAACTGTAGGATATTTTTTTTACGAAGACAAATATATTTTGCGTTTTGTAGTGCGCTATGAAAATAATGAATTTATGATAATATTTAATGAATTGAATACCAACATCACTAAGGTGGTGATAAGTTAAGTTTTAAAGGAGCTCAAGTATAATAGGTCAAGGGGGCCTGGTTTATTGTTGAATGAATTTGTGTACAGGGTAAAGATATTTTATTACCTGTTTTGTATTCGTTATTTAATTAAATATATGATATTGGTTATT